ACACGCGCACGCGCACGCGCATGCACACATGCACGGACGCACGCACGCACACTCTCTCTCTCACACACACACACGCGCACGCGCACGCGCACGCGCATGCACACATGCACGGACGCACGCACGCACACTCTGACACACACACACACACACACACACACACACACACACACACACACACACACACACACACACACACACACACACACACACACACACACACACACACACACACACACACACACACACACACACACACACACACACACACACACACACACACACACACACACACACACACACACACACACACACACACACGCACACAACAGTTTTCTCACCAGGACAGCGCGTTGGCGTCACACTGTAGGCTTACGGCAAGGTGTAAATTTGAAGCATTTTTTTTTACGGCAAGTCATGCACGTGCTTCGTCCTGGTACCTTTTCCCCAATAGCTGAGAGCTACGGGGTCTCTGCCAAGATCTCGGGAGTTGTTTGGAACTCTGCGGAAGGGTTCCAGAGGCTTCCACGAAGTTGGATGGGGTTCCTGGTGGTATGGAGCGTTGAAGGCTCCGATGATGGGTTGCGGTGGGCCGATAGGCTTTCTGGGGCGAGCCGGCGGTGAATAAATTTTGAGAGCTGAGGGCTTCAGAGCCGCCGGGCGTTCCCGTGGTTCACTTGGGCTTGCTTCTTATGACTTGGCTTTTCATTGGCGTATGAAAAACTGGCATGAGCAGCTTGTCGGATCTCTGCAAAACTCTGGATGAGCCATAGTTCTAGAATATAACTCCGAGCCGAGCTCACCTGAGAACAGAAGACGGGTGATTTCAGTGCGAGGAAATTGCCTCAGAGCTCTGTGACCCAGGACCAATTTTCTGGATTTCATTTGAGCCCATGCTTTTTGTCTGCTTTGCGGCGGGTGGGTGAGGTGGGTGAGTTGGTGGGTGGGTCGGTGCTTGGTTGCTTGGTTGCTTTGTTTCTTGCTTGGGTTGGGTTTGGGTGGTTACGCTTCAGTTAGGGTTTGGGGTTGGCTTAGATTGGTGAGGCCTACGACAAGAATCGGCTCCAGGCTGAATTTGGGTGGGCTTGGGTCTGCGTCAGATTTGGGCCAGCTTTATGCAGCTGCTTCGAGCTGAAGGCAACTGGAGCTGCCGAAACCCGTTTCAGGTGATGCTGGAGATGCTGTGCCTTGAAACTATACTCAAGCACACAGCCCAAGGGAAGAAGATGGACATGGCGACATGGTGCCTAAGCCCACCTTCAACCTCTCCCATTGCACCAAGCCCGCTGACTTGTACCCACTGGAGCGGCAAAACCTCGCCCTTGCCGGGCCGCGGTTTCAACCCCCGCAAAACGGAGAAGCGCTGAGCCAACCAACGCGATGCCTTTCATTGTGACCACACGAAGCTGCTTCAAAGCTGCTCAGGCTTTATTTGAGCAAGCATTTGAGCCGGTGTACGATCCGCCAGAGCCATTCTGTGGTCTCATTTGAAGCCCTGGCTTGGAACCGTCCACATCCTCCAAGATGGATCTTTTGGGATGCGTGGAACATGATCGGACCATTGTTTTCACTTTTGTTGAACCTCCATGACACTATGGGCATGGCTCAGCTGAAACCCACTTGACACGAGCGGTTTGGATGATGCCCCCGAATGTCAGTCCAGCTGTTGAGGTACGGCTCGCCTCCTACCATCCTCGTGTGGCGCTTACCTCGCCCCATGCTTGTTGATCACGTTTCACAGCGAAGGTATCAGTAGAGCAAGCATTCGAGTCTTGTTTTTGTGCATGATATGGCACCAGCTGGTTCAAGGTTGGTGACACCAATCAGTTTTGCAAGGCCAGGGGCCTTGCTTGCCTGCCGGCTTGCCAGCCTGCCCAGCCTGCCTGCCTGATTGCGCTCTTGCATCCTGGGCCAGCTGATTTCTTGCACGCTCAGGGCAACGAACTCGAGGTGCCTTCCAGTAGCGTTTGATTGCCTCTTCTTCGAATGACATATTGCCAACATGACAGGCGATCCGCTACTTGAAGGGACTTGAAGGGTCATGCCCCGTGGACTTTGCCGATGTGCACGAGGAGGCAGTTGCAATCCAGCATCGTTCGCAGCTGGAAACTTTGAGAGTAAGCTTTTCTCAGGATCCAGCACGATCTTTCAGTGACAACAACAACCCGGACTGTAGGCAAGCTGCGAACGACAGTGATTGGCTCCAAGTGGGTGTGTCTTTTTTTTGCGGCTACACCTTTTTTGGCGGGTTTAAAGGGTTTAAAGGGAAGCCCAAAAAACCACCACCGTTTCTGTGTGCTGTGCTTGTCCCTTGCCAAATTCGCCAGGGTGGACTTTATGCTTGCCACCCGGGGCCAGTGGACGCAGCCTCATGATGCCACGAACCGTGCCCACGAGCAGAGTCTGTGAGGTCCGTGGTGCAAGCCTCCATTGACCGAGTGGGTGGGCAACTCAGAAGAACCACGTGCTCAAAACCCGGGTAGATAAAGGTCAGTAAGGGGCAGTCCCAGCTTGAAATAGTTGCGCCCGCCTTCCCAATTCTTTACATGGTTCTGGGTGGACCATTTTGCTACCGGGTTGTGATTGTGACTCAGAAGCAAAGAAGGGCTGAATAGAGTTCATTTGTAGAGTTGGCAGGTATGGGATCGTGGGGTTCTGCCAGTGACCATGCTCCGCTGATGGCGCTTTTAGTTCCAATCTTTGGCACCACGCTTGAAGCTTGATCTAGCAACGCCACGCGAATCAGTGGCTTTAGATCGATTGCATGGACTTTTGAATTTACACCCTGCCCACAAAGAGACTGGGTGTGCGTAGTTTGTCTGAAGCCAAAGTTCAGCTTCCCCGCCCCGCAGCGGTTCCTGTTGCATGCAAAGGAAGTGCTGCTACCAGCGTGCTCTTTACACGTCTTTACAAGAGATACAAGCCCACAACGCCAAGCGCCTCAAATAGGCGCTTCGGTCTGCATGCAGGTGGTTTCGGAGGCGCCGAAGCAGAGTTGCTGGCGAAGCACAGGCCTGAGCTGGCGAGTTGGCCGACCGTCAGCGCGGATCACTGCACCGGAGATGGACTGAAGCTCGGCGCCTTCGTCAGCATCGCCAGTCGGAGTTGACTGAGAAACCAAGAAGTGGGTATGGGTCAAGATTAAACCACCAGGAATTGGACCGCAGGTTTTGGTCCATGTTTCCACTTACCAGGGTTCCATTTTGGGTACGTATTTTTGACCCACACCCAAGGGGCTTCTGGTCAAGGCACCGTGCCACTGACTGCAATGGCAGAAAACTCAGACAAGATGTTGACACATTCGTTGAACCTCAGCATTGTGTTCTGCAGGATGCAAAGTTTGATCCTGCCATATGGGGGAGTCTCTTGTGTAGGGCACCGGCATCCCAATATGGTGGTTTTCATTGAAAACTGCAACACATATAGTGCCCTAGAAAAAAAGAAAAAAAGTCAGCACGCCCAGATTTGGCATGACCTTGAGCGGCACGGTCAGGCGAGCAGGTTGGTGCGGCGGTGCTTGGTTTGGAGTGGGTGCAGCTACACCCCACAGCGTCTCCCGGCCATACTATTGGCACGTTTGGAACACGGGGTTGGGCAAAATATGGTTTAAACACCACCTGTACAAGGGAAGAGTCATTTTTAAGCAGTGGTTATTTAAACATGTTTAAACCACCGGGTGGCCCCACCCTAGGAACACGGGGTTGGGCAAGATTTGCTCAACCAGACCCTGGCACCCTTCGAAGGGAGATCAACAGCAGGTTGTTCAAGCAAAGGGTGTTTGAACGCGACTTAAGAAGGGCTGGACCCAGCCTCTCCTGACCCCTTTGTGCGCTTGTTCTCTTGGTGTGCGGGGCTGTGTACCCGAGTGAATTGGAGGCTTGTGCACCCGGATGAGCCAGACGCCAAGCGGAAGGTGCTGTCCTTATCTGGATCGCCCGGAAACACGCGAGTCATGTGCAGGAGCTCCGTAGCCAGAGACACTCCTGAAGCACGAAGAGTGTGTGTTTATCCCCCTTTCTATTTTTCTGGCCACGATGTCATTTTTGGTGAAACCCCTATATCTCTATGTATATATATATATATATGCACCCCTCCCCAAAACCCACGCCTGCTGCTTTGGTAAGGTCACTTTTGATGGGTGCGGGCTCATTTTACAATGTTGGCAGACTTGCGCAGATGATTCATCAAGCCTTTACCACCCACCTCTACTTTCTGAAACATGTTTGTGGCTTTCCTCCTTTAAATTCTTGTTCAGTCATTTCACATCTTCTTGTTATAAACTAAGCTTATTTCAACACGAATCAATTTGAACAAAGCATCAGAGCAAAGGTAGGTAAAGTGTAAAAGCAAAGTTAGATAAAGCGTCAAAATACACAAGGTTTCAGCAATGATATTTCATACATACATCTCTGACGTTTTTCAACATGTCAGTCAAGAATAAAACATTTGCTTTCACAGAAGTCGCGATGTTCTCTCATGTTTCACTGTTTAAATGTGTCCATATCAATTTTGCATTGTCACGGTCTTTATCACTAATGTTATCCTCGTTCAATTGACTGTAAAACACCTCTGTGAGAGTATCAACAAGAAAGCGAACAATGCCTCTTGTGCTTCGCCTACGCGTCTTTGATTTCTCATCTCAGTTGATGCGCAAATCCTCTTCGTTTGTCAACTTACAAGCCTGTGCCAATACTCCATCTCTTATCTCAACTCATTTGCAGATCCCCTTCGTCTGTCAACTTACCAACCTGTGCAAATACCTGCTACTCATCTTCCATCTCTCATCTCAACTCATCTGCAAATCCCCTTCATTCACAAGCCTTGGCGCTCACATCCTATATGCCTTGAACAATGCCACACTGTCTGCTAGAACAACTAACTTCCCTGAACGAAATCTGTGCTGCGCAAAACCTACTAAGACGAATGCAACACACTGGTATTTGTAGTGTTTTTCGAGATCCAAGGGTTGTCGCGGATTTTTTTTAAATCATTCTCTAATCGTTTAGTTACCCAATGTGCATATGTTGGACTATCAACTGCATTTATTGCGCACAATTCCAAATTTTATAAAAAGGTGCGCAGCCAAACATGAATGACTGACCGCAGACGCTTTTCGGCGCTTTAAAGCGCTTTTGGTTCTATCATTCAAGATTCCCAGGACTATTGTTCTTGAATCTTGAGCCCAGTATGGGGCCCAGAACTCTAGATCTTGAATCTTGAATCCAGTATGGGACCCCCAAAATGCTTTAAAGCGCGTTCATCCAGGTATCTCATGGATTCAAGATTCAAGAGCAAGAGTCCTGGTTGGGGGGCCCAATCTTGAATCCCCGCAAAAGAAAACGCTTTAAAGCGCTTTAAAGCGTTTTAAGGGCTTCAGGCTGAATTCAAGATTCCAGATCTAGAGTCCTGGGAATCTTGATTCTTGCAGCCAAAGGTGCATTAAAACGCTTTTAAGCGTTTTACGAGGCCCCAGGCTGGATTCAGGATTCCAGATCTAGAGTCGTGGGAATCTTGAATCTTGAATCTTGAATCCAAAAGTGCTTTACAGCGCTTTAAAGCCTTTTAGGTGGATAGAGGAGCAGTGAGATGTAGGCATGGTTAGATGGTCAAAATTGGGGTCAAAATTGGGGTGCCTGAAAAGGGGGTGGACTATCACCAAACTGTACGGTAAATACCGTTATTTCTTTTTCGGAGGGGGGGGAACCAACATATACATAATATATATATATATATATGTACCGATACACAGCCTTTGCAGGTGCATGAGGCCTATATGCTATGTAAACCTTAACCATCCCATTTCGTCCAACATGAAGAAGGACACAGTTCCATCTGTCCGTCTTGTCCTTTTTTCTCCACTTTCCTCCTTTTCTCCTCCTTTTCTCCTCCTTTTCTCCTCCTTTTCTGCTTTTCTTGTCTTCCTCTTTTCCTATTTTGTTTTTCCATCGTTTCCACTTTTCCTCCTTTCTCCTTTTTTCTCGTTTCCTCTTTTCCTCTTGGGCAAGTGGGTAGGTTGGTGGTGAGGACTGTGAGGGTTATGCGTGCTGTTGGGGTTGGTTGTCAGGGTCGCGAGCTCTGCAAACGCCTATGAGGGTTGTCAGGGCTGCCAGGCAAGGGTTCTGGAGATTTATCAGGGTGATGAGGGTTGGAGTAGATTTGAGGGTTGTGGCTGTCATGGTGATTGTGCAGGCTGTGAGGATTTCCACTAAAGTCCGGCAGAGTGGTGGAGTTTGAAAAGATGGCAGAACTATAGTTATCAGTTTTTTTCTTTATTGCTCTTCTCTCGTGTTTTGCTTTTATCACTTCCGGTCCCCTTCTTTTCTTTCTGTCTTTCTTTTTTTTCTTTCTTTTTTTTGTTTCTGTTTTTCTTTCTTTTTTTTCTTTATTTTTTTCTTTCTTTTTTAATTTCTTTCTTTCTTTCTTTCTTTCTTTCTTTCTTTCTTTCTTTCTTTCTTTCTTTCTTTCTTCCTCTCTCTCTCTCTCTCTCTCTCTCCGTCTTTCTCTCTTCCATTCTGTTTCTCTCTCTTTGCTCTCTTCCCTCTCTCTCTCTCTTCCTTTCTGTCTCTCTCTATTTTTTCTCTTTCAATCTTTTCTCTCCTTTCATCTTTCTTGAGTTCTTTATTGTTTTTCACCACGTGCACCTCAAAACAGGCCTTTTGCAAGCTCTGCCAAAAAGTCAGCTCGATTCTCGAGCGCCGCGTTCTAGTACAGTCTGCCTCGCCTGGCCGGCGCGCCAAAGCGCCGCGATAGCTGGGCACAGTTGCCACAGTTCGGCGTCGGCCGCCGAGTAAGCGAACGGCCTGAAAGCTGACATCGCTTGCGTCGCTGTCTTGGCACTTCATGGAGCGCGCTGCCGGCCGAAACGCCAAGCCGCCCTCTCGCTCTGAACCCAGCACAGAATGAATCAAGAAACAGGTGGCCTGCTCATTCTTTGGTAAAATGATGTTGCGTGCTCTCCTTGAGGGGCAAACAGAAGTCCCTCCACCATTGTCTTGTGTGCTCAACTAAAACCATATGGCACATAGTGAAGCCTACAATGAGAATGCACACGTTGTGAGTTGTGAACCGTAACGCTTGTTTGTTTGTCTTGCGTGTGCGTAAAAATGCATGTGTGATGAGATGTCAAGTCGTGAGGTGTGTGCCACATGCCCAAGTCATTAAAGATTCTTGTTTGAGCCATGTAAACGAGAGTATTCACGCGCATGCGGAAGAACCAAAAGCCACAATGCAACATTCATTCCAGCGAAGCAGTCCGAGCGAAAAGTCAAGTCATTCTTTGATCTATCTATATCTCGATTGATTTATCTATTTGTCCATCTATCTTTCTATTTGTCTGTATATCTACCTACCTTCCCTTCCCTTCCCTTCCCTTCCCTTCCCTTACCTTACCTTACCTTACCTTACCTTACCTTACCTTACCTACTTGTCTATCCATTCATCCATCCATCCATCCAGCCATCTACCTATCTATCTACCTATCTATCTATCTAACTAACTAACTAATCTAATATAATCTATCTAATCTATCCAACGCGCCCGCTTCGAGCCCGCCTGTCAGACGTGGCAAGGTGGTTGGAGCGCGCGGAAGAGCCGAAGTCACGCACAGGGCCACGCTTTTGGCCCGTGTTCCCGAAATTTCTTTCTCTTTCTCTTACTTCTTCTCCTTCTCCCTCTTCTTCTCCGTCTCTTCCTCAAAACGCAGAAAACCACAAGTTTGTTTGTTGTCGACCCGCCGGAAATCCACAGAGAGTTCACCTTTTTGATGGCTGCTCGAGATGAAACACGTAAGACAAGAGGAAACACACAAGAACACAAGTTTTTGGAATGTTGCGCATGCGAAGTGAAAATCAGAAAAGAACCACGAGTTTGAGGGTCGACCCACCCAAGCACGCAGAGGATGGGCCAAAGGCACGCACATGGCCACGTTGTCGGCCCGCTTCCGCGCAGATACATGTCGTAAAGATCGCATCCTTAGATCAAGCCAGCTCAATGAGTTCCAGTACCGCGGAAGTTCTTGTCAAACTTCTCCTGATTGTGGGGGCTGTGAGGTTTGTGAAGGCTGTTGGCGTTGTTTAAAGACAACGGGATACTTGGGTTCCTGCTGCATAGCAGCGTGATGACTTCTGGCTTTTGATGGTGGTGCTTGGAGGTGCCTACTTGCCTAGGTGCTTGGGGCATGAATCGTACATGTGCTTTGGGCATTCTTCGGTTTCTTGGGATTGCTTGCCTCGTCTCGCGGCTGCGCATCTGTTGTAAGACACCCACTCCTGCCATTCCGACCAGGCTTTGTGCATGCAACACTTACTCTCAGCAAAGCATGCAGCACACCATTACCCACGGGTTTGTCTCTGAGCAGGGATCCCTCCGCCGTTCACCCCCCCTCTTTTTCAAATCAGGGTTTCCCTGTGGCTTCCTAACAGCGGCAGCAACTCGGCACGGTACGATTTCGCACCTCCTCAGGTCCTGGCCGGTGAAGCTTTTCGCCTGGCGGGGGGCTTGCTCCTCGATGCCAAGGGCCAGCGCTTTTGCAACGAGATGGGACCTGCCGACCCCCGGCGCTCGAGTTTTTCCCCAGATAGCTGAAAGGGGTTCTAACTTCTAATACAGAGGGGAAAATGATTTGCGAGATTGATGGGCTGGTGCTAGGGGGCGTGCAGTTTGGGGTGCTTGTGCACGTGTGGTTGTGGGGGGTCACGGTGCGCGCGCATTTTTGCATCTTGACGGTAAGACGCCAGGGGGAATGCAGTTTGGGGTGCTGGTGCTGATGGTGCTGTGAGACAGTTTGTGGGGAGCTGTTTGAGGTGCTGGTGACGGTGCGGGCGCATTTTTGCGAAATTGACTCTCGGGTGATATCGGGCATGCAGGTGACGGTGCAGGCGCATGTTTGCATTTTGACGGTAGGGTGCAAGGGGCATGCAGCTTAGGCGGTGGTTTGGGATTTTGTTTGCGGTGCTGGTTGGTTTTCGCAAGATTGACGGCTGGGTGTATTGTGGGGTGCTGCTTGGGGTGCTCTTCACGGTGACGGTGCGGGCGCATCCTTGCTCGATTGACGGCCGGTCTTTGCTTGGGCGTTCTTCGGGGGGTTGCTTTTGGAGGTGCTGGTGTGCAAGCGCTGCTATCTGGGGTCTCTGCAAGACATCATCCAGGAAACTCGCCCGAGTACCCGCAAAAAACAGAGGCTTGGGTGATCTCTTGGAGAATTGCCTGGAGACGGTCTTGGATTCTAGCTGCTCGTTTTGCGTCTCGCCCCAGCAGGAATGGGTGAAAAAGAGGGCACAGTGCGAAAAGGACAGATAGGAAAAGGGAAAGGAAAAGTGATGCTCAAGCCAGGGGAAATGCTTGAGCTTCTTTAAGTAAGATCCTAGTGGGTTGTGTGTCAAGACTGGTGTATTTTTTTTGCACTCGTATACCTCGTATATTTGAGTGAAACTGCGTGAGGGAGTCGAGCTTCTTTTCTTCAGGGTCTTTCTTTCAAGAGCCACACCATGTTTTAAGCTTGTCACTTGCAGATTGCACACGCAAACAACCGTGGTTTTGACCTCAGGAACACATCGTTTCGCAGATGCAACAGAATCAGGCGCCATTCTGGCTTTGCTTGAACACGGCTGCGTCTCGCGAAATGCAGTGGCAATGCCGAACCTTCATCAGCCGCAAGCTCATGAAGTGCTATGCGTCCGGGCGAGATCTGGCGGCAGAGATGAAGGTCCCACTGCAGACACTGATCGACGTGCATGATTCTCATGCGGAAGCTTTCCGCCGCACCATGCGGAGCATGCAAAACTCGGTGCCTTCGGAGCCTGCGCACTCCTGGGATGAAGCCAGCGCCAAATCTGGCTGCGGCAAGCTGGAATTTAAGCATGTTTTGGTTGGCTCCAGAGTCCCGGACGAGCCATTTCACGTCGCACGGGTGACCCCCGCAATACATTTTTGCCCCGGTGGGTTGCAGATAAATACACAAGCAGAAGTTATGAAGGACGGGACAAAGATTCCCGGCCTTTATGCTGCCGGTGAGGCAGCAGGCGGTGTGCATGGCAGGCAGGCGTTGCCCGGAAATCCCTTGCTCGATTGCGTAGTGTTTGGAAGACTCGCCGCCAAATCCGCGTGTCAGTACATATTTGGCAAGGACGATGAGTTCAGGCCCTGCCCATTGCAAGTATCGATTGCAAAAGTGTCTTTGCACCGTTCGAATCGCCTTGATTCATGCGAGCTCAAGTCTAGTTGTTTGCCCGATGCAGTGCTTTGATTGGATAGATCTCTCTTTTCGCTGCCGGCTCAGTGGACTGCGCAGAAGGGAAGCTGCGCTCGGACTCCATGAGGCAGAGTTGTCGCGTCGGCGCAGATTCAGATGCAGATCTCTCTGTGCCGTGCGAGGCTCAAGGGTCGACGGTGGCTTGGCAGGGCGCCAAGTCTGGTGTGAAGTGAGTCAGACTGAGTGGCGCGAGACCGAGGCTGGTGTCTCCCTGCTTTGGGCCTCTCACTGGCAGCTTGCCTGATGGCTTTGGCATTTTCAGCATTCGCATTTGGGAAACAGCGGCGAGTTAGCCGAGACTTGACACTTGACATGTCCACGGATTCACCCAGTCCTTGGCCTTCGTGGGGGGCAACTTGAAGCCCAGCAGGCGAAGGGCTCTGAAAATAGGTATATAAGCCACGGAAGGTTTGATACCATTGAACAGATGCACTTCTGGAAATTGCCAAGCTCACACAGCGCGAAGCGTGCCAGGCGGCTGTGTGCTCAGGCTGGGGCATTCTGGCTCACAATCTCTGACTTGGGCAAAATTGGTAACATCCAAACATATCCAAACCTTGCGTCTGGGGAATAGAGATGTGGCCGTACCGGTGCCCGGTCCATCTGGAAGGCTTGGAATGATGACTCGCCTCCGCCACCGCCACCTCGACCTCCACGTGTGGACCTTGGATCTTGAGATTGGGAACTGCCAAGCATGGGTTCTCAAAATAAGGGAACCCTGAAGTTCTTGGTTTGCTATTGGTTTCTCTTGGAATACCAACTAAAGGGGGCCCACCATGCTGAGAAACTCCTTCATGGGAACAGTATGCACATGCTCATTGAGGGCTTTGAGGCAATTGGGATGGATAACTTGATGTGCTTGAGAACGCACCTGCTGGTCAACGTGTGTGACTTCGGAGCTGTTTTAGGATCAACAATGGAAGCCTAAATTGTAGGGCGCCATGCGGCTTTGGACCTGCGTTTCCTGCTTGGGCGCATCGTGCAGAGAAGCATCTTGGCTGGACATGGAAATGACAGAATGCAGAAGATATCATGTTGGCAAATTCATCGCTGCAACATTGCCAAGGTGTGAAACCGACATGTTTCCACCTACTTTGGAACATGATGAAGCCAGACACACGTCTTCCGCAAAAGCAGAAGCGTGATCCGAGCGGTTGTTTGCCCACTTGACAGGAAGATCTTGAAGATGGGCACTTTGCAGAACCTGAAGCTGATGAGCACATGGTGATTGCTGCCAACTCTCTGGAGAACATCAAGTTGAAGAAGAGGGTGTCCTTCCAGGAAGCTGAGGGTTTTCTCAACTCTTTGAGGTCTTCATGCAATTTGCATTGAATGCTTGCTGCACAACGGCACTAGGACGATTCAGTTGAGCAGCATTTCCCAGCCGTAGCGTCTTCAACGCGAGCGCCCTCCAGCTTTCGGGCTTCCAGCGAGGGCTTGCGCCGCAAGTCCCGCATCGATGGCATCATCTGGAAGCGCCGGCCTTGGGCTGGATTTCTCGATCTCAGCGTGTTTTTGGTGCTGCAATTGGTGTTTGCGCTCCAACCCATGCTTTGCATCGGAGGCAGCGCAAGATTCGAGCACGAGCCAGGCACCATCCTGCACAAGAGTTGCCGTGTGACCAGTTGACCTCATGCATCGTATGCATCATTGTGCCTGCTAGATTGAAATGGCTTCACATTGACAAAAGCTGACCAGACGTTTGCTTTCGCGTTGGCTTAATACTTGGCATCCGCATGGCCCTTGATTTCAAGCGCAACCATCGATGAGCTACTGTCAACTGTTTTGTTGGACAATGGGCTCACCATCAACCCAGCAGCGCCAGCAGAGAACAAGGGTGTGGTTCTGTGTTGTGTGTTGCCATTGGGCCATTTGTGTGAGTTCAGTCTATTTCTCCCAGCTTGTGCGCAACATGCGAGAGAAAGCTGTGTGACATCACGAGCTTTTCACCAACATGGTAGCGAAACTTTTCCAACTTTGTTGTGAATCTTACCCAATCTCACCAGCCAGCAATTCAATGACATCCAGCCCAGCGTTCCCAGTTGAGCTTTGCTGATTGCAAGCGATACTGTATTGTCCTGCTTGTGCTGGACTTGGTTGCTGCGCTCCAACTCCACTCCATGCATTTGAGCCGAGCAAATCATCCCTGCAGGTTGCTCCTGGTCAAATTCCTCGACGGAAATGGATTCAACCGCGTTGACGTGAACTGCAGGAGGACGAGACTTTTCGGCATCTCTCGCGACTCGCCTTTGGCTATTAGCTTTACTTCATACCGGCCGTGGCTTCTGTTGGATCCTCTTTTTTGTGCACTGGGGATATTTTTTCTTGGGCGGGGGGGTAGATAGGAGCAAGTGAATGCCAGCCTTCTTGCATGGTGGATGTTGGATCCCCCTTCACGCATTGCTTTTGGGCGGGGGCAAAACGGGGCTTCCTGGGTTTTGTGTGGAGAAGGCACTCACCCGCTCCACGAAGCCGCCAAGCAGAACAACGCGGAGGTTGCCTATTGGCTGCTCCATTTCGGGGCCGATCCAGCCAGGAGGGATTCAGCAGGCGGCAATGAGTGTCCAAGTGGTGTAAGCGCATCCCAAATTTCTGGTAGGGTTTTGCCGCGCTGTGGGGCGGCATTGGATGGCATTGAAGGGGACAGGGATTTTGTGACCATGCCCTCGACTCATCCATTCGTGGATACAGCTGCGCCAGGTTTGACCCCAGTAGATTATGCCAAAGCCGCATCACATCACCAGGCTGGGCTGGGCTTCGCCACGCCCGATGAGCGTGGTTGAGTGGTTCCCCATGCTTTGAACGAGCCTGCAACCCCACCGGCCAAAGCTTTTGCCGTTCCCAACTTGTTCATCGGACGGGAAAAAAGCTGCATAGGTTCGAGAAGTGTTTGAAGCCTTGGCTTCAAGCCGAAGAGCAAGGACTGCGTGGCCGGGGTGACTCTCTTTTTTCAGGGGGTTTCTGGTATGTGGTATGGTTATGAAGGACTATCGAAAGGGACACCGACATTTCTTGGTCCCTTAAAAATTCGAGACCCCCAGATGACCTTGGCGTGTGCTTTAGGAGGATCTGGGCGCTGCGCGGCTTCGAGACGTTTTTCGCCGAGCTTGAACAGTCTGCCGGATTCTTAGGATGTGTCCGGTGCGCTTGCTGTTCATTCCCGTTCTTGAGAGGGTGTTTGTTTTCTTGAGAGGGTGCCCCTTTGTTGTGGCCTTAAAAGGACAACCACGCGGAAAGCCACAGTTTTCGGGGGCACCCATTTGCATCCAGGATGGGTTGGCCTGCCGGAAGCTTGGCCTCGTGCCATTGGCAAGCACTCACAAAGTTCTTGGGGGAAAGGAGAAGCCCTGAAGCAGTGACGTTGCATTCATTTGCTTCTGCCAAGGAAGCGCGGCTGACGCGCCAATAGTGAGAATTTCAGCGCCAATTTTCGCGCGAGCTGCGACATTGGAGCAACTCTCTAGGCCAGCCTAAGCAGCAACAAAGCGCAAGGCTTGGACCCATTTATTGCACGGCCTAAGACTATCACTTGCGGGGCGGGTGATGTCTTCCTTCATTCCAGGCACTCTGCTGAGCATGCCTCCGTTTTTGCCATGAGCATCATGGGCCAGCGTAAGCCGAGCCAGGCAGAGGCACACGTCCTTCAAAACGCCTGCAGTTTCGCATGTCTATTGCCAACATTGGGGATCCGGCCGCTTTTCGTTGGATTCCCGAGAGAGGGAGCCCCTGATCCCCAGTTTTGTCACGTTCCAAGTTTTGCAACATTGATCTGCCAAGACTGCGCTGCACTCCACACAAAAAGAAAGCGAATGACAGATCTAAGTGTTGGATGTTTTCACCTGGCACTGTGTCTCTTAGTGAAGTGGAGGCTTCATCCTTCAGCCGAAGACTGTCATTTGGCTATGGGTCAACACCAATGGTACAATTTTGGGGTAGGTGCACCACCCATTTAGTCTATTTGTTCACTGGGGGTACGGGCTTTTGACTGTTCACTGGGGGTACGGGCTTTTGACCCATGGCCATTTGAGGTAGGATGAAGAAGGATGACTGAATAGAAACAAGTGATGCAAAAGCATCGACCATATAGCCCTTGCGAGGGATGTGGCAAGCCAAGGGCCCCTTCCAAATTGAGCTTGCATTTCTTTTGGATTCCCAGAATCTGGCAATTTGCCATCGTCTCACTTGTCGTTGAGTATTGGACATATGACACCAAGCACGGTTCTTCGGCTTTGTGGCACTATTGAACGATTTGAATGCTGTGTCCACAGGTGAGAGTCGAGCTGCTGTACATTTACTTTCCCTACATAGGGCAGAGTATACGTTCCCTACATCGGGCAGAGTCTACAATATGTCTCTGTGCCGTACTACATCGGATTGTTCCCTTGACGACTCTGGGGGCCGGCGATGGCAGAAACAGGCATGCAGTGCATGCAGGCTATGCATGCCTCCCGTTCCACGATGTGAAATTACGGCAGTTAGCTCTCCAGGTGAGAGGAAGATGACGGATGTGGAGAAGCAAGCAGATGCCATTGTCCATGCGGTGGGCTTTTGCGCAGTATTGGCTGCAAAGCGCAGTTGTCATGCAACAATTATTGCACTTTGCAGTGGCTCCAAGGCCGTGTTTGCTCGCCCGTTCGTTCGCTTGCTAGCTCTCCCTCTCTCCCTCTCTCTCTCCCTGTCTCCCTCTTTCCTCTCTCTCCTTCTCTCTTTCCTCTCTCTCCTTCTCTCTCCCTCTCTCTCTTTGCCTCCCTGATCCCTGCCTCCCTGCCTCCCTGCCTCCCTGCCTCCCTGCCTCCCTGCCTCCCTGCCTCCCTGCCTCCCTGCCTCCCTGCCTCCCTGCCTCCCTGCCTCCCTGCCTCCCTGCCTCCCTGCCTCCCTGCCTCCCTGCCTCCCTGCCTCCCTGCCTCCCTGCCTCCTCCCTGCCTCCTCCCTGCCTTCTCCCTGCCTTCTCCCTGCCTTCTCCCTGCCTTCTCCCTGCCTCCCTGCCTCCCTGCCTCCCTGCCTCCCTGCCTCCCTGCCTCCCTGCCTCCCTGCCTCCCTGCCTCCCTGCCTCCCTGCCTCCCTGCCTCCTCCCTGCCTTCTCCCTGCCTTCTCCCTGCCTTCTCCCTGCCTTCTCCCTGCCTCCCTGCCTCCCTGCCTCCCTGCCTCCCTGCCTCCTGCCTCCCTGCCTCCCTGCCTCCAGCCAGAAGCACGGTGCCACTACACGTCCGAAATGAGTTGGTCTAGCTGGCAGCTCCCAATGAACGTTTCCACTTGCCATTTTTCAGCAACACGTTCATGCAAGGAGAGGCCAAGGTCATTCTTCTAGATGGAACGACAATACATGTCCCGCTACATTGCCAGGTAGTTGCTGTGGAACTGCTACATTGGCATGGCAAGCTGGGCGGTACTCTTGAGCACCTGTGCCTGAATGGAAAACACGGTTTTGGTCGCATTCAACACATCCCTGGCACGTTGCAATAATATGATGCAAACATGCTGCAACACCTTTGCACAGGAATGCGTTTCGGAAGCAGTTGCCTCAGCTATCCAGAGAAAGGGAGACACTTCTCAATAGCATGACGTCGAGGTGTGTTTACGCTCCTGCGCTTCCAAGGCGCTGCAGTATGTTGTGCGAACTGTGTTGGTTGGTTTCATAAGCCCGCAGTGAGAGCATCGTTTCTGAAGGGAGAGATGCTTCTCCTTGTTTTCTGGCTGCGTATTGCCAGCTGCGGGCCAGGTTGAAACGCTTGACGAACCGCAAAGATAGTGCAGATGTCCTTCTGGCCTGCTTACATGTCGCAGAGCACCTTGAAACTCAGAAGGATGTGAATGACAGGACTTCAAGATAGACATGAAGACTGGCAGAAAGCTCTCGCGGCCAAGCCGCGTGCATGATGCGGCGCGCTCTCCGGGCTTGGGCTGTACCCTCCCTGATATAAGACCCTTGGAGGAAATCTTCCAAGAGCCTCCAGTTAGGCTTCAGGTTTGTGGGTGGAGGGCAAGTGCAGGTCTGTTGCCTATCGGGCGGCAGTACTTGCGCAGGCGCTGGAGAAGCAGTTCACATTGGGCTATGCCTGGCCTGCCAATTTGCGTGACCATGTGAAGGGTTTGGGGAAAATGCAGCCAGGCGTTCACAGACGTGGCTTTGAGAATGCTGGGTAGAGGCCACCGGCTTAGAAGAGGAGCATACCTACAGCCATAGGCACAGAGGCGGTGTGTAATCGGCAGGACTTTCTGCATGCCATGTGCGGAGGTGACAATGGCTTGTGGCTTCCACTTGCACGATACCAGGTGGCAGCCTAATTCCAGCAAACTTCATCGAACATGTGCCATGCATGGATCAAGAGAGCCAGTGGGTATACGATTGCACCCATGTAAGTTATGTGTACGGGCCTGAATGCAATGCACGTTGAAGTATGATGCTAAGACATGTGATGCAATCAAATGCATTCCAATAGTTGGCAAGGTCAAGACACTGTGGCGTAGTGTACGGTGACAGACAAGGCTCCATAAGGTTCTATTTTGTGTACTAGTCAAGTAGATGTGCCTGTCTGAAATGTACTTTGCAGTAATGCAACGAAGCAAAACGCAATGCAGTATTCTAACGTGCTGAACCGTAGGGAAACAAAGTCACGCGACAATCGCAACTGTAAATGGCTTCGGCCACCCTTTTAGTTCTTCATATTGTTTTGAGCAGACCGCTTAAATACAAGTGCAATGCAATATAATGCGGTGAAACGTGATGTACATGCACCTGCATGTTTGCTCGTTGCATGTTTGCTCGTTTGTTTGTTTGCTTGCTTGGTTGGTTGGTTCCTTGCTGTCTTGTTTTTTTTTTTATTCTTTTTTTCCCTTCTTTGTTTGTTTGTTTGTTTGATTGATTTATTGCTTGTTTGCTTGATTGTTTGTTTGATTGATTGATTGGTTTGTTGATCTGTTTGTTTGTTTGAGTGATGGATTTGATTTGATCTGGTTTGATTTGATTTGGATGGATTGATGGATTGATGGATTGATGGATTGATGGATTGATGGATGGATGGATTGATTGATTGATTGATTGATTGATTGATTGATTGACTGATTGATTGATTGATTGATTGATTGATTGATGCATTCATTCATTCATTCATTCATTCATTCATTCATTCATTCATTCATTCATTCATTCATTCATTCATTCATTCATTCATTCATTCATTCATGGATGGATGGATGGATGGATGGATGGATGGATGGATGGATGGATGGATGGATGGATGGATTGATGGATGGATGGATTGATGGATTGATGGATTGATGGATTGATGGATTGATGGATTGGATGGATTGGATTGATGGATTGATGGATTGATGGATTGATGGATTGATGGATTGATGGATGGATGGATGGATGGATGGATGGATGGATTGATTGATTGATTGATTGATTGATTGATTGATTGATTGTTTGACTAATTGATTAAATTCATTAGTTATTCAAAAAATACTTTACTTATTTACTTATTTACTCATTTATTTGTTGTTTGAATTGTTGCCATGCATAAATGTATTGCTTTTTGAAGGTTTTAAACACTATGCGTTCTGGTTGAAGTTTAGGATGCGTCCCGTCCCCAGCACCGTTGGCTTTGGTCTCTTGTGACGCTGCTGGTGTTTGACTTTTGCTGTTTGTCAGGTTCCTTGGGTCGCACGCGCTTATGGTGACTTTTGTAAGACTCCAGCGCTTCTCGTTGGCGATAGCTTCTGGGCAGACCGGACACTGTGACCACGCGACCATGCGAGTTTCCGGCAGTTTGCTTTACTTAATGGTCCAGGACATATTTCACGTTCCTTCTCCGACTTTTACTCTAGCATGTTTCCTAAACATGAGGCCTGTGCTTCTCCTGTGGCAGCATGTGGCTCGCCTTTGCTGCAAGAGAAGATTCACCATCTTTCCCGCTGGTTTTGCTTGGATTGCTTTTCAGCTTGCTTGCACATCTCGAAGTTGCGATCGCAGGTACCTCGAAGTTGAGTTCATGTGGAATGCAGGGGTTGAGTTCTTCATGTGGCTCAGGCCCGCAAGGAGCTCAACTCCGCCGACGTGGAGCCGGAAGAAGATCCGCAGGCGAAGGACCGAAGGCTGAGGTTCTGGGAATCGCGGAGCGGGAAGAGTTGGCTGTGGCTCAAAGAACCGGAATTCCAAACTGGGTGCCCTGGTAAGCGGAAACATGGACCAAGACCTGCGGTTTGCCCCTCCGATCGTTTAATTTTGAGCCACACCCAGTTGGACGTTTGTGGCTCTGATACTTTTTCGCATTTCGATCGCTTGATGGCCTTCTGTCTATTTGTGAGGATTTGGTCGCCTTCAGCCAGGGCTTCGTCAGATCTACCGCTGGCAAGGATTGGGGAAAGGCATTGCACCGCGAAGCCAGTGACATGGGAGTACCTGGAAAGGAGCTGGTGCAAGTTTCTTCGCGCTCTGTTGCGGTCTCAGTCAGGGCTCCGGACCGCAGAATTGGCTGCAGCTGGAGTTGCAAGCGTGGCAAGTCCCTGTCTTCACGAAGTCCATGCTTCACGTCTCGATTCGCCTTTTCCGTGTTTTTTTCTTCTTGTTCTATCCAAGTATACAATTGCAGCTTTCATTCCCTTGCCCAGAATTGCTCTCACCAATCATGGAGTTGCCGTATCTTTTTGGCTTGAATTGTTGCGTTATGCCTTATAGCCAGGTGGGACACGGAGACGCCAAGCAGAACATTTGGATTCTCCCAGCTTTTGCCTTACTTCTGTTCAAGCACGTGGTGGCAGCAATGCAACAGTAGTTCAGTAGTCCTAATTGCTGATTGCATGTGAATTGGGACACGTTGGGCACACGGGGATCAGGTGTTCGTGGATCATGACCGGTCTTCACACGCTGAGCGGCAGGCAAACGCGTCTAAAAAAAAACATGCGGATCACTTTGGCTATGAGACAGGCGCTTCTGGTGATGTTGGAGGCGCAGGGCAGCCATTCTGTGAATTTCAGACGATTCCGATCTACGGACAGGCTGCCCCGACAGACCCCGTGACTGAGGGTGTTCCTGACGGCGCCTGAAACCCAAAGACCAGCCCGGCCTCGCTAGCTCCGACTTCACTACAGCTGCAAGTTGTGTGTGTATTCAGCTTCAGGTGACGGGCCAAATGCGGGTTTATGCTAGCCATACCCCGTGCATTTCATGTGTCTTGGCTGCCAATGAGTTTCGACGGAACCGTCCGAATGCTTGGATGTTTGTGTGTCTGAGGTCTTTCTTCCATGTGCCAGTTCACTAGATGTTTTGAAGGCCGCTCTTTTCTGTCTTCTCTAAACTCGCTTCATGCATGCTTCAGCCATCTGTGATCGGGGTGGTTGCAGGATCAGACATCTCTGCGCTGCCCTCATTTGCTGCCACCATGAGCCCTTCCTGCCTTCCGTATCTGGGTATGGATACGACTTTGCCCTTGTAGCTTGCACTGTCAGGTGACATATGATACTTGGAAAGAGACGAGACGCTGGATTGGGCTAGATCCTCCTGATGGCGCGCATGTGCTTTTGAGTTGCTGGCAGCTTGGGACCTCCCTCCATCATGAGTCGCCCATCTAGTTTTGTGGTTGTACGCTTTTGCAGAGAGCACTGGATAACACCTCCCAGCGCACTGCACTGTGCCGCCAGAAATACCCGAAGAGGAAGAGGAGGAGGCGCGAGGGCTGCCATAGCTTTTTCCTTGCATATCATATTGACTGCGGGGATGGCAGATTGGCAAGTTGACTGGCAGGCCAAGTGAGAGCGTACCGAGACGCCACGCGTGCGGCGGTCGCAGAAAGGCATGGCGAGACTTCGTGCAGAGCAGCAGTTGTGGAAACTTTCGCAGGCGGAATTTGCTTCAGATACGCTACCTATTGTCAGCCTTCAGCTTACAGTAAACTTGTGGTCCTCGGTGTGTGGTGTGTGTGTGTGTGTGACAACCCAAAACCACTTCACCGGTTATGCCACCGGGTTCGGCTAGACTCGACACACCCCCGCGCTCCATTGGGGCACAAATGGGTTGCACAGCGGGTCACACGGCTGATTTTTGGAAATGTGGCTGTGAGAGCCAGCGGAAAGTATCACAAATCACATGATCGCCCACGGTTTTGGCTGGCTTGAACTGGACACCAGAAGAAAACCGACCAAAAACAAATGCACCATCTGCAGCCTGGAGAAAAAGCCTTTTCGGGAACTTTGGCGCACTTCAGCCCGTGCTGCCGTTAAAGGCACGGAGGATTGTTCTCTGTGGGAATGATAGATCCTGTGTAGACGACGAAAAGCGAGAGCGAACCCGAGCGGGCAGGCAGCTCGGCGCCGGCCCGTTTCCCACCTGGCATCCGCGAGAAAAAGCCTTTTCCACTCCACCCTCAACGCAAGTCTCTTTCCAAACAGCGGGAGGTGCAGCAGGCTGGCGGCCAGCGCGCGCCGCGCGGCGAAAGAAGGGCAGTCCACCGCCGCACATACCCCGTTTTGCGCACTCGAGCAGTCAAGGGCCTAGGCCGGGCTCACGGTCAGGCCCCGTGACACGGGTGGTGTGCACAACAGCCTGCGCGCCATCCGAAAGGGGCAGTCAAAGCCGATGCCGGCATGGATGGCGGGGCGCCGGGCCCACTCGTCCTCCATGGTAATGTCCTGCACCTGCGCCATCGGAGGCGTGGGCGCCTGCTCCCCTCTAGGGGCGCCTGTGGAGGGAGCAGGGCCCTCGGCCTTCTCCGGCAGCACTGGCGGATGTCTCCTCATTTGGCGCCTTTGTGTCACGGATGCAATGGCTCAGTGAACTATGTACATTTTTTCTACAAATGCAGTGTAGTCCCGGCTCCGGCGGGTGGTTGCCCCTCCTCCAAGATGCCGCCCGCAGTGCGTCTGGCGCAACTCCTGGCAGTCACCGCGGCTGCGCATGGCGAGGCGAGCGCGCTGCCCGTTTGGCTGGCGTGGGCGAAACACCTGGCACGCCGGAAGCCCTGTGTGAGCTGCGTGACCCCGCACTTGCTCGCGAGGCCCCCGGCGCCCGAGGCTCAGGCCTTCCAGCCGCCGAGCCCGCTCGTCTTCAACAGCGCCCGCTTGGTGTCCAATCTGCGGAGCACACGGCGTGAAGCAGCCCCTGACCCGTCCAGCGCCACTGCTGAACACTACCGCATCTTGCTGGATGACGACGAAAGCACTTCCCTCTTGGCGCGCGCCGCGCGGGACCTAGCAAGAGCCAACGTCCCTGCCGTCACCCTTGAGGGGCTACGCTTGGGCCGCATTGTCGCTTGGGCCGCATTGTCGCTTTGCAGAACCTCGCCCTCGCTCAGCAGATGGCGCAGCACTGTCACGATACGTGTTCCCTTTTTCAGTACGCCCTTTCCACCCACCGGCGCGGAGTGCCTGGCGCGCTTTTTGCGTGCGCCCACGAAGACAGACCGTGAGGCCACTGTGTTTTCCGTCGACGGGGTGGGCGTTTTCGACGTGTTTTGGGCAAGTGTGTTCGCCCAGCTCGCGTCGCACGGGCGCCTCGCTCCGCCACCGCCGTATGTGCGGCGGTTTGTGGCCAGGCCTCGCAGTGCCTGTGGTGCGACCAAAACGGCGCGGCGCACGTCGTTGAACAACGCGAAACAGGGGGGGGGGTGAGGTCCACTGCCTGGGGCGTCTCAGCCTCACAGTGCCTGTGGTACGACCAAACCGGCGCGGCGCACGTCGTCGAACAAGGCGAAACGGGGGGGGCCCACGAAGGCCCAAAGGGAACCGATAGATTGTGGTAGTAGAGGATCTTTATTATGTAGGTCACTGGATCTATTCCTGGAGAGTCCAAGTGTCAATACTGATGGATTGATACTGGATTAGTCTTGGTTGATTGTGTGCTGTGGTTTGCCCTGAAAGTGGTGTGCTGTGGCGCCTGTGTGTCACGGATGCAATGGCTCAGTGAGCTATGTACATTGTTTTCTCTTCTCCGCGTTGTTTTCCGACTGCATGTGCTGCGGCTCACCCCCCGGAAGCCCTGCTTAAAGACAGGCGGCCGGCCGCGCTTGGGCGCTTCGGAGTGCCGGAAGTCAGCAAAGACGTCGCTGACATCCGCACGGGCCCGTCAAGGTTGCGCGCGCTGGCGCCGGGCTAGGCAAGAAGGCTGTTGGCATACGCACGCGCGGCGTATGTACATCTGATGTGTGGCATGAAAGGCCTTGAGCCAAAATGGTGTTGCATGGAGATCAATGGGTCCTAAAAACAAACGCAAAACAGATACAAATTTCAAGTGTGTGTCGTAGCCATAGATGTCACTGACAGATGAGAAATATATCTGACAAGCCATGGTTGGGGGCTGCTGTGTGTGTCTTGGGGCTGGCTTGGCTTGGGGGCGCTTGGGCGCGTGCTTCGCCCTGCTATGGCTGCTGTGCCGGCCGGGCGTCAGCGGCACGGGAGTCTTCGGCGGAGCTGCGCGGCTTGGCTGGCCAAGCGGAGATGCCGGTGGAGGAGCTCTTGTGCCACCTCCAGCCGGGACATTGGGGGAGGCTGCCGCAAGAGGCCCGCGACAACAAGGGGGCCCCGTGATGTGCACAATGCATGCCGCCCTGGGAGGGGGGGGTAGGGCGGCACCTAAATCGACTTGCAGGATTGCAAGCTCCTGGCCCGTTAGCCGCAGCCGGACCCTGCTCGCGCCGCGGGAGCGCAGCGCGCCGCGGGCCTCTGCCCGTGCAATGGTGGCCCCACGAAGCGTTTGCAGGCCTGCGGGGCGACGCGCCATGCAGCTTCTCGCTACTTGTAGCGCGCTGTAAGGCCCCGGATGGCTACTTGCTGCCCTTCCAGGAACGGCGGATGCTGCGAGTGCGGGAGCCGACCTCGCCAGCACAATGCCGTGCCCTAGACCAGCAAGGACGGAAACGCTGGCGCGCCGGGACGACGCGGCGTTTGCGGCGGCGGCCCAGCTTGCTGCTCCCCGCCACCGCAGACAGCGGCGCGCAAAGGGCGAGGCCGACGCGCAGGCGGCGCCGGCCGATCCAGTCGCCCCCCGCCCCCACCGAGCGCCGGAGCGCAGGGCGATCCTCTCCAAGCCATGCGAGAGGTCAACTTGGCGCAAGAGTTGCGCAGGAAAGTCTGCACGCTGCAGCGCGGTGCCCTGAAGAACGCGCTGGCCGCAGGCCTGGCCGAGGTGCAGCGAGACCCACGCTTTGCGGAAGGCTGGAAGCTCTTCCTCCTTGCCCAGCGCATGTTGCTATACCGCGGGCGTGGGAAGACGCGCGTTCCACGCGCGCAGCCCGACAAGCGGGTAGTGCCGAGGCGGCGGTGCGGCGCACGACGATGCGCAGCGGCCCGCGGAAAGAGCGGCGGCGCTCGCCCACTTGGGGGAGCTCTCGGCAGCCAGCGCCGCCCTGACAGCGATGCCCATGGCACGCGTCGCTGGAGACCTTGGCCGCCCTGCGCGGCCCGGAGCGGCCGCCAGCACGCCAGGTGCCGCTGCCGCCGGACCTTCGCCCCAGCCACCCGCACGATCATTTGGCGCTGACCTTGCACAGGTTCTTGCGTAACCTGCGCATTGGACGCAGGGGGGGCCGCAGCTCGTCAGTCCGGATGTACAGCTGAACGCCTCCGGGTGCTCGTGGACGACGAAGCCCCCGCCGACTTGTAGCTCCGCGCGGCAGAGCGGCTAGCCAACGCCGACGTGCCGGCGGACGTGCTGGCCATAGCTATCTCGACAACCGGGCCCACGAAGTCTCCTCCTCCATCTACCGATCAATCCGATGGTATGCCACAACAAGCAGATCGACATTTCTCCCTTGATGAATCCAAGGCACAGCAGATTGTCCACTTCATCCTCTGGAGAGTAAAGAGGTTGAACCGATTGTTCTCCCGATGCCTGCGGCATAATCCAAAGCACGTGTTTCACCGCTTGGGCAGACGCAAAAAGGTGCGTGAAAAAAAAGGGAGCTCAAGAGAGACATCCGAGTCAATCCTGACGCATCCTGCGAGCTCTACAATGCACTGTGCGGCATCAGCCATGCAAGGAATTTCTGGGCAACAAGCCCCTCATTTTCTTGATGAAAATGTTTCCGAAATAATGGAAATCCCGAGTTGAAAAACGCATTTGCATTTCCAGATTATGATGTTCCCGGCGCTGGTCCTCCTTCCTGGCCGCGAGCGCGAGCCGGGCGTACGCTGCCAGCCTCTTGGCCTTGCCCGCCCACTCGACCGCAGGTGTCGATGGGCCGCCGCCCTTGGACAGTGATGTGCTTGCTGACGGCGGGGAGCCGTTTGCCGGGCGCAGCCGCGTCCGGTGAAGAGTGCCCGCCTGCACGTGAGGAGCTGGCCTCCGTAAAAACAGCGGCAGAGACCGAGACTTCCCGTGCCCGGAGGCGCCCCAAGAAATCCCATTGTACACAAGAACAGGTGGATCGACAACCTCACATCCCAGGCAGCATACAAAGCTCTCCGACCTGATGGAACAGCATTTTACAATGACAAGGAGATGGAACTGTATGTCAGACGCTGCAGTGGTCATTCACGACCCGTTGAATCCGAACACAATTCACTGAGCAGCAGGACTACGATCTCCCATCGACAGGAGAGAAAGATCAAGCCATTCGACAAAAAACCAATCACCTGTCTGCTCCATGCGAACAACGACCAGATATTACAACATCCTGGAACAAGGAATTTAGCCGGGGAGACCCCACGAAAAAAAAATGCCCATCTTGCAAGCATTGACGACGTGATCCTCAAGCCATCCAAGGCAGCTTTGACGCATGTGCCTGGAGGACGAGATGCCTTATTGATCTTTGGCTTCCT